AGTAAAAAGAAGAAAGCTTCTTTTCCAGATAAAATGTAGCTTCACAAGTTTCTTGGCATCCAACTTGAGTCTGTACCTTTACTAAGAGGTTTCCTGCAGGCTCTGCCTCACAGCACCAGTCCTGGTCTCGGTTTGCTCCAGTCCTGCGCCTTCGGTGCCTGTGACTCAGACCTCCATCCCCTCTCCTCTCAGCCCTTTCAGAATGGCCCTTCATTCTCCAGGGGATCTACTTCCGCCCCCTCCCCCAAGTCTTTCTCCATCTCCTGTCCCTTCCCTTCATCAAGTCCTACCCCTGCACCCAGGACACTGTCCCCATCCTGGCCTCTGAGAGCCAGCACTCTCCCCCTCTGGAAGGCGAGACTGGAGATTGTGCTGTCTGCTGTAAAATGTGTACCTTCAAAAAGGTACACAGAAAGTCACTCTAACAGAACAAGTTCTGAATATCTCTATTTCTGCATATAGAACACAAATATCTGAAGATATATAAAAGAATAGCATGCAAAGTGCTAAGGATCAAACATAAACATGATGCTATTGGTTGTTCTCAAAAATAAAAAAAGCAGTCTCATAGTGGAAGCACGCCTTGCACGGTGAAGTTGTGAGCGACACAGCTTGTAAGACTGCACCTCACGGCTTGTAAGACTGTACCCCACCGCAAGAGCAGAACCGAGCAGGTGGGCGCTGGGCTCTGAAATGCGTCCTTTTCCCCAGCCAGTGACTGATGCAGAAAAGATTATTCCTGGGTGATGCCAAATACCTCTCATGCAGACCAGGCTTCTGCCTGGCCTTTCTGCTCCCTGTCCTTCACTGGGGTCAGCCTTGCCTCTGTCTCAGTGCTCTCACCCTGACCTGGCTCCCTCCCATTTTCTCTCTGGGGCAGTTTTCCTAATAGGATCTTTGCACCCCTCATCCCTTCCTGGAGACTGTTGCTCAGAGGACCCAGACTAACACAGGGGCCAAGTCCCGGGAAGTGAATCAGGCAGGGAAACAGCCTGCACGAATGCCCAAAGCTGAGTAAGGAGAGGGTAGGTGGGGTGAGCCTGAAAACAGGCAGGGCCTGGATCCTGCAGTCTCGCTAAGGAAATGGGGTTTTATGCCAGCAGCAGTGGGTGGTCATCACAGTTTTAAGTGGATGAATGGCACTATTCACAACAGCCAAAAGGTGGGAGCAAGGTATTGTCTATCAACAGATGAATCAATAAACAAAACGTGGTACATGTGCAAACATGTATATACATCCAGAGGAATTTTATTCAGCTTTAAAAAGAGAGGAAGTTCTGACATGTTACAACATGAATGAAGCTTGATGACATCATGCCAAGTGAAATAGGCCAGACACAAAAAGACAAGTGCTGTATGATTCCATGTCTGTGAAGTACCAGAGTAGTCACACTCATAGAGATAGAAAGCAGGCTGGTGGCTGCCAGGGCTGGAGGACTAAAGAGCTATTATTTATTAAGTATAGAGATTCAGTTTTGCAAGGTGGAAAAAGTGCCAGAGATTGGTTACCAAAAAATGAAGGTACTTAGTACTACAGAGCTGTGTACTTGAGAGTGGTTAAGAACATAAATTTTATGTTACGTATGTTTAGCCACAATTAAAAACAATAACAACATAGTGAAAATAGAAAGGCACTGTGACTCTCCTGCAGGACAGAGTAGAGACTGGACAGGAGACAGCAAGACTAGAGGCTCAGACCAATCCGAAGCTGCTGAGGTAATGGAGGCAGAGCCATCGTCTGACCTGAGCAAGAGGCTGTTCAGTGATGCTGCTGTTTGCAAGATACAGTGAACAGGAGGAACGGTGAGGGTGGGGGAGGTGGTGGGCTCCATAGCATGATCTCATACACATTAGCACCTCCACAGTTGACCACATCCCTCCACTGACCACCTCCTTAAATTGACCTACTTTTCATAGATCAGACATGCACCACATGTATCTATCAGTACAGTAGGGTTACAGTCCCTCAGGCTGTTAACTTGCAGAGGTCCACTGGATATATATTTTAATATGTATAATTTTACATGCTCTGTTATTTTTACTATCAAATATTACGGGATGCTAAGATACAGAGGGAAGACTGTATCTAAAGAGTGGGTTGTAGGCCAGGCATGGTTTTCATGCCTGTAATCCTAGCACTCTGGGAGGTTGAGACAGGGGTAGATTGCTTGAGCTCAGGAGTTTGCAACCAGCTTGAGCAAGAGTGAGATTCCGTCTCTACTAACAACAATAAAACTAGACAGGCATGTGGCAGGCGCCTGTAGTCCCAGCTACTCAGGAGGCTGAGGCAAGAGGATCGCTTAAGCCTAAGCATTTAAGGTTGCTGTGAACTATGATGCCATGGCACTCTACCCAGGGTGACAAAGTGAGACTCTGTCTCAAAAATAAATAAATAATAAATAAATAAATAAAGAGTTGGTGGTAAACTATGAAAATATAGAGGTACTGATTAGGAAAAATAGAAGAGGTCCAAGAAGTGGCTACAGAAGCTTAAAATTAAAATAGGGTATAAAACATACTTTAAAAATAAATGTCAAGAATCACAAAATGATAAGGTTGGGGACTCGTGTCTCACTCGCAGGATCTCACTGTTTTGAAAGCATCCTCTGTCGTCTCACTCCAGACATCAGTTCAGAAAACGGACTTTATCATCAGTAAACATATAATCTTTACAACCAAAGCTGCTTATGTATAGAGACAACTTGCCTGTTCCTCGTAATGCGTGTTGGTAATGAAGACACTCAGCATTTACAGGATGATGAAGTTACATTCTAGTTCCTATTCATTTTCCATTTCTAATAGGCCTATTTCATTAATTGCAATGATTTTCAATGCTACTATCAAAACAAGTCAGCTGTTACTCTGATTACAACTGGATGTTTCAAACTATCATCTTGATTACAAATTAATGAATTGCCTGCTGCAGTTGGAAATGCTTCACATATTTCAAAGAAAGGAGTAGACATATGTCTGATGGCAAAAAATAGACCAGGAGGAGTTATATATAAAAACCAAGGCTATAATTAGCCTATTTTACTATCTTTAAGCTATACACAATCTTCTGTAGTTTCCTGTCAAGATAAGAAATTTCTAAGGTAGACACTGAAGAATAGTTGCATATGACATTAAATTATAAAAAATTGGGACTGTTTTGGAAGAAATATAAAGAAAGGCCTTGGCACAAAAAGATCACTTTCCAAGTTGTTATCTTGAAAGGCAATAAAATTACTACTGTGATGCCACAGTTCAAACATTTTTTGAATAGTTGGTGTTTAAAAAATTCTAACTCTTCTCTACCTAACAAATGCAGACATTGGAACCTAATTCTTTGTACACTCAAATTAGCCTGAAACAATAATAAAAAAATAAATAAATCTAACTCTTATTAGATTTATAAATAGATTTATTTATTTGATGCACCACAGGTAAGCACCTATTCTATTTATGACATTTCTGGAATTGTCACAACCTATAATGTGTGGCTTGATTGTGGCCAAGGTATGAGGTAGATATTGGTATCCCCATTTTATAGATAAGAAAACTGAGGATAGGGAAGTTAGCTGTCATACAAGTAGTATGTGGCAGAGAAAGGATTTAAACCTAGGGAATGAGGTCTAGAATTTATACTCCTAACCACTGTGCCACACTCAGATGGTTACTAAAAAACAGGAAGAAAGAGCCTCACCTTTCCATAGGCAATAGTTCACTTAGTCTCTTATAGTCAAGTGCAGTCTTACACGCCTCTTCAATGTAGGGAATATAAAAATACACAAAAATCGCTTACTTTTATGATGGTCCTAAGCAAAGAAAATGCTTTATGGGTTTAAACAAGTCAAATTTGGGAAGCTTGCTTTCTTGTAGAGACCAGCTGTTGGTTTCTATTTACAATATTTTTTCTCAACAGTGAAAAGCATGGCCATGGAGCTGTGAAGACGCCTCTCCCCTCCCTTAGAAAAAAGGAATTAAGTCAAAGGTGAAACAAATCCCTGGAGATAACTGGGTGGAAAACATGAGATAAGTCTGAGAAGTTGCCTTGGTTTGCACAATTTTCATATGTAACCATGAAATTCAAATTAGGGACAGGACTAAGATCTTCCTGGTCATGCATGGGTCAGGTAAGGAGCTACAAAGAGTTCACAGACTCTTCTTTCTACTCCTTTTAAAATTCCACCTCCTGAAGGACCTGAAAAATATGAACCAACGGAACTTTCTCATGTATTAAATCATGAGTAGAAAGAGTTAAGAGTTGACTCAGAAGGACAGGAAACATGGTCAGTGTGGGTAAGTATATTATAAAGTTTGCAAATGAAACCAGATCTCGAAAGCTTGATGACTTTGCTAAACTCAGGAGAGAAAACCAGACCTCCTCCTGTGAATGCTTTGAATTTTTCATTTTTTTTTTTTCTCTGTTGCTCAGAGTTCCCTGCAGAGGTAGTGGCCTTGAGGAGCTAGGAGGAAGAAAATGTTAATAACAAAACAGTAAAGTAAGATTTAAATGGTCGAGACACAAAAATATAAAACGGGTGTTTATAATGTAACATTTATTACGCTTCCTTGAAAATTGGAATTATTCTATTTAAATTACTCCACCTCAGTGCATGAAAAGAATGATCACAGTAAAACAAAAGTAATATTTCTAAGCATGTTATTTTATTATCTCTAGTTGTGTATTTGTTTTCAGTCTTCAAAACCTGTCTTTACTGCCAAAACTAACACAGAGCTGTTTAAAATAAAGTTTTGACCCATACTGGACTGTGGAGATGTAGACTTCAGGGAGAAAAACTCAAAACACGCAAACCAATGCTAAGCGTTAGAAAAAAAATTTTTCTTGATATTTATCTACCATCTTTACAAAAAAAGTAAAGTTAAACTATTCGGTCATCATATACACTTCTTAGTGAATATTAGTATTTTACATCTACATACCTATGCATATGTAATAAGTAAAAAGATACATTGAAAATAGTTTTTATCTGTGAAAAATACATGAAATGTGACTGATATATACTTCAATTGGGGTGCTTGTTCAATATTCAGTGCTTAAAAATATTGGGAAAAAGAATACAAAAATATAATCCGGTAGATGACATCAAAAGTGAAAGAGATAAGGAAATAGAAAGTGTTCAGTGTGATTTTAGTAAGTAGGGAAAGGGAGCAGAAGGGTCCACATTGGGAGAGAATCACACAGCGCCAACTATATGAAACATCACGAAGGAAGGACGTAAGGTTTTTCCCAAAGCCGATTTCACTCACAATGGAATAGAACCAAGGAGTTTTGGGGGCAGAGTAAACAAGTTGAAGCTTTCATAACAAGTTCATGCTATGAAAAAACTGACTTCCTCCTTGAGTCCTTATTAGGAGTGCCTTGGACATTTACCCTACAGTCAGGAACAACATTAGTTATGTATCAATCCCCCGTGGGGAGGGTAAGAGTGCCATGTGTCATACTTTAGTTGTAACGTGTGTAACTTCAGTCGGAATCCGTCTTTACTGAAGAACCATTGGCGTCATTGGCCATCTTTCCAAGCACCAGCTGGGTTGGAATTCTTGAACCTCTGGGTTCTTTCCTAAAGACTGCGTTCCTTAAGGAGTTGAGGCGACTCCCCGCGTGCAGAGGCCTGGCTTTGGCTGGCTTTCCCAGCGTGCTGCCCGGGGGGTCCCCTCCTGGGCTGGGCGGCGGCCAGGGCAGAGGCTGCCGGGTGTGCTGCGGGCTAGTTGAGGCAGGGGCAGCAGAAGCAGCAGAGGGTCCGACAGGGGTTCTTCTTCTTGTACTGCACGGCCTTGCGCACCTGCGCCTTGGCCTGGCCGGTGTAGTCGACGGTCTTCTGCACGTTGAGCTCGATAACGTTCAGGGTGTCGGCCTGCATCTCCACCAGCACCGCCATCTGCAGGAAGAGGTCGTGAACGTCGCGGATGCGGCTCTCCAGTCGCAGCAGCTCGCGGTGGCGGCTCTCGATCTCGTTGAGCGCCGCCCGCGCGCCCTTCACGTCGGCCAGCAGGTTCTCGGAGAACACGTCCCACTTGCCCTGCTCGAACATGTCCTCGATCTGGGCGCCCGAGACGTCCTTGCCCATGATCTCCAGCTGGCGCTGGATGCGGATCTTGCAGTTGTCGCGCTGCTTCATCTCGGCCTGGTTGTACTCGTGCATGGCGCGCTGGAAGGTCAAGGTGAGCGCGTTGTACTGCGCGCGTGAGATGCGCGCCACGGCCGAGTGCGGGCCGTGCTGGGCCTCGGCCGCCTGGCTCAGCTCCTGCATGGCGCGCAGCTTGCGGTGGATGCCCTCGCCCCGGGCCTTGATGGCCTTGGCGATGGAGTTGGTGTCGCGCTTGATGCTGCTGAGGCGCCGCATGGACGTGAGGAAGCGAGTGTTCTGCTTTCCCAGGCGCTTCACGTCCACCATCAGCAGGTGATTTTCATCCTGAATGTCCTGGATGTCGCGGTATAAGGACTCCAGGATGTGGTCCGTCTCGAACACGATGTCCTGGTGGGCCGAGTCCAGGTCATCGTCCCCATCTGGGAACTGCTGGTCGTAGCGCTTGGACAACTCCACAAGTTCTTCTAGCCGGTCCTTCATTTTGCCTGCAAGTAGAGATAGAGAAGTTAAATTCCTCTAGCGAGAGTCAAATACTTGCATGCAGGGGGTCGAAGCTTAAAATAAATATTCTACTCTCAGCCCTTCTAATTCCTTACTCCTGAGTGTGGGTAGCAAGTGCGTCAAAGGAGCTGAATGTTCTACAGCATTGTGCTTATAGGTAAAGAAGTAGCATGACCGAAAGGCATGAATGGAGCTGTATTTTAAGGCCGATAGGTATCTGCGGTCAAATCACAGGTGCCCAGAACGCAAACGGCAATTTACAATTTTAGATTGCATTGGGAAACTATCTCTTTTCCTTGCTTTACGTTTTCCAGCCATCACAAATCAAGACACAGAAAAGGGGAAAATAAGAAGAAAAGATTTGCAAGCTAAGAGTTTTGTTTTTTGGATTTTTTTTTTTTTTTTTTTTTTTTTGCAGTTTTTGGCCGAGGCTGGGTTTGAACCCACCACCTCCGGCATGTGGGGCCGGCGCCCTACTCCTTTGAGCCACAGGTGCCAACAAGCTAAGAGTTTTTAAATAAGGACCATTGACAAGGCTTTGGGGCCAACGCTGAATGTTGCCTGTTTTGTCTATTTCGGCGCCCCTCCTGTACCGGCTAACAACTCTTAAAATAATAGTTACCACATAAACAAGGACTTAACGTTTTTTCTCTTAAAAATTTATATGAAACTAAAACATGCTTGAAGTAAAACAACAAAATAAACGGAAATCTAATCAGGTAGGGTACACTTAAGAAGTCTGTATTTCTTAGTCCTCGCCCCCAATATCACCCCCTACTGGCAGGCATCCTTAACAACACTATTTTTTTTAAAGGCTTTTGTATAGAAAATTTCAATCATACACAGCCTAGTAGCAATAGTATAACACATTCCCATTTATCCATCATGCAGCAGCAAATTTTGCCCACTATTACTCATTTTTGAAACAAATTGGAGGCTCAAGCAGAATTTCTGTGTTTTTACAAGGGTGGTTGTGATAATTTCCTTGCTGAGCAAGACGAAATAGTGTTCCTTATATCCATATTTTTTCCAGTGAAGTGAAAAGGTTTCATTTTTAGAAGCATGTATGTATATATGCCAAAATTGAGACCATTTTGCAACTGTGTGGCTGGAAAGATTCTCTTTCTTCTATAATGTTTGTAGAAAAGGAGGGGGTAGTAGCACTTAATGGCTACACAATCTATCAGGGATCTTGATCTCAAAAGCTTCTTTCAAGTTGAAGTCATTAATTTTATAGCATCACTAATGGAATTCTGACAAGTTGGATCTAGGGATAAATGGAAAATTATTCATGGTCTCTCATCTGCCATGATCATTATTTGCATAAATTAGAGTTTTTATTCAATGCTGGTGATTAGCACAAGGAGTTAACCTGTTTAAAATGCTATTTCTGCTATCTGGTTGCCAAAATCAAGACTAGACCTGCTCAACAATGAGACAGGTCACTGTCTTAGCACTATGACTCAGAGGCAGAAAAAAGACCCAGCCTGGACCAAAACTGTGCCTTCCCCTGGACTGAATTTCTTGGTATTCAAATATTTCTCCATTTTGAACACACTTTAAAGACAAACCACAAATTGAGGGGAAACTGGCAGATAATGGATTAAGATACGGTATATATGTGTGTGCATATATATACATATTTGTACATATACATAAAACACTACCTAACCCCAGTGAAAATGGTTTTATCCAGAGGTCCAAAACAATAGATGCTGGCATGGATGTGGAGAGAAAGGAACTGGGACTGCAAACTAGTACAACCTCTATGCAAAGTAGTGTGGAGATAGCTCAAGGAACTAAAAGATTTACCATTGGATCCAGCAATCCCACTACTGGATATGTACCCAGAGGAAAAGACACTTGCATTCAAATGTTTATAGCAACACAAGTCACAATCGCAAGTTTCCTTCAGTACATATTAGATTCATAAAAGGTGGTCTCCATACACCATGGAGTATTAGTCATAAAATAATGATGAATTAACAGCTTTTGTAACAACCTGGGTAGAACTGGAGGCCATCCTCTTAAGTGAAGTATCTAAAGTAGTGGTTCTCAACCTTCCCAATGCCTCAGCCCTTTAATACAGTTCCTGTGGGTCACGACCCACAGATTGAGCACTGCTGATCTAAAGGCTGCAAAAACAAACACCACATATGCTCACTTTTAAATTGGAACTAAATGATTAACATGCAGGTGCACTTACGGTAGTAAAATTCAGTGGAATCAAGCAGATGGAAGGTGAGAGAAAGGGAGGGGTAAATTCCCACCTACCACGTACAATGCACACCATCTGGGGGGTGGACAGAATTAGAACCTTGACCCAAACTATGGAAGTAATGCACACAACCAAAAGAGAGGCTTTGTGCCTACTGTGAAAGGAACAAGAAAAAAAGTGTTTAGACATTGGTAGGGGCCGAATTACGTGCCCCCCAGATGTTAGTCCTCCCAATTCATATGTGGAAGCCTCAAACCCCCACCAGCTCAGAATGCGACAGTGTTTGGAGTTAAGGTCTTTAAAGAGATAATTAAGTTAAAATGGGAAGTCTTTGGGGTGGGCCTTAATCCAATATAATCAGCGTCTTTATAAAAAGAGGAAATTTGGATACACATGTGTGCACAGAGGAAAGACCCTGCGAGGACAGAGGGAAAGGTGACCATATGGAGGCCAAGGGAGGAGGCCTCGAAGCCCACACATTGGGCCTCCAGGACTGGGAGACATAAATTTCTGTTGTTGCAGTCTGTGGTAACTCGTTATGGCACAATAATACACACATTAAGCCAATTTTGCTTAATACCAAGAAACAAACCTTTTCCTGTTTCACAGAAATATGTTACTTTTTTTTACAAGTTGTGAGAAACTTCCAACGCGGGAATGCACAAGGCGGAGTTGCACAGGCGCAAAGCTGAGTGTGAGGTCACTGCGGAGGTCACCTTGGAGATCCCTGGAGGGAAACAAGTGCAAACGCATGCCAGGACCTCTCTGTCTGTGTTCACGACAAAGAAATGAGTTAGACTTTACTGTTTTAATGTGAGTTCAAAATACTTAGCATTCTTGTTTCGATAGGAAATAAAGTGCACGTGTGGACACCTGCTATGCAGCTATTTGGGAAGCAAAAAATGATCTTGCCCTCAAGAGATACACCCCAAAAAGATGTTGCCCTCAAGATTACACACTCCAAATGAGGACTTCTGCTCAGCACCCACGTTCTGATTTTCAGATCCTGTAATATACAGAGGGTGCCAAAAGAATATATACACATTTTAAGAACCGAAAAAAATTGTATGACATTTGTCATACTCGACATTTACTGACCACATTTGTTATCTTGTATATTGTGTCCTATATCTCTTCTAATTACAGAAGTCCAATGTGACTGCAGTATTACAATTGAATACAGTTTTTTCCTTTCTTAATATGTGTATACATTTTTTGGCACCCTCTGTAGATCTCCTGTGTCCTGATTTTATGCCCATTTTTAAATTGCTGTCAAAAGAAAATGATGATTACAAATCAGAAAGTCCATGACAGGTCCCTATGGCTCCTGGATGATCCTTTGTATATGACTTATATAACATCTTTGTGGAAACTAGACAAAGGCCCCTTTCTCTGGGTGATTGCTGCCCAACCCTAGGGCATATACCCTGGGGAACTGAGCAGGGATGGATCCAGCCCCTCTCATCCCTGAGGAGACCACAATCTGGACAATCCCATGGCATCACCTGTGTACACCTTGTCCAGCCCCTCTCATCCAACCCTCTGCACTGCCACAGTCATCTGTCAAAGGCCAGGAAATGCCATAGGCACAGGTGGCAACACACCACTGTAACACAACCCTTTAAGGACAAAAGTGTACCCTCCCCAATTGGCTTATTCAGATCAATACTTAATAACATCACTCTATTGAGTAAAACCCGGTGTTCTATGTTTTGATTTTCAAAAGGACTCAGATCCATACCTAATAACTTCCCTCCATTGAGTAAAACCCAGTGCTCTGTTTTGATTTTTAAAAGGACACATCTAAGAGGGAAAAATTATTCTTTCTACTTCCAAAAATTTTAAGCTGAAACAAAGAGTTCCCCAAAGTTCTTATTTTTTTCTTGCTCGAAAGTTACTTTAAAACAACACATATGTGTTGGGTCTTAAAGTGAATTGGGCAAGAACACATTTGATACTTCTTAGGGCTCATTCAAAGCACAGTTTGAGAGTCTAAAGAGTGTTCATTGAGATAGATTCTAAATGTCTGAGGCTAAAAAATAATTTAAACTGTCTCTTGTTTTCTCTTCCTCTAAAGCAAACAGCAGGAGGGAGTTATTCAAAGCATGTTGGGGAGGCCAGTGTGAAACGCAGTCTCTCCTTTCTAATCACTCTGCTCATTTGATGCCCCTCCCCCATACACTTTCACTTGTCAGTTCCTTCAATCAGAATTTTCTGCCAGTGAGATTGTCATTTTATCCTATCTGTGGCTCTTTTTTTCTTTAAATGGAGTGTGTGCTTTTGTCCTTTTCCTGTCTCATCACTGTATGTTAGATGTGCAGGGGGGAGGCAGCCTGGCTTCTGTTGGTTCATTGTCTCAGGATCAAGAGGATCAGCGTCTGAGGAGTCTGATCCGTACCCAGATCTGATACAGATGGAGTATAAGCCTCTGGACTTAGAGGCTAATGCCATCATCAGATGAGACATCCAGGAATCCTTGGATGGGGGTGAGCAATATTTTCCTTCCTCTGTCATCAAGAGAAATGAGAATGATTTCAGAGACAGACTATACCTGATGACAATAGATGGCAACAAATTCTTAGAGTACCTCCCATCAAGAACTAGTGTCCATTTCTCTGGTTTTTGTGAGACAGAAGTCTCACTCTGTCACCCTGGGTAGAGTATCATGGCATCCCAGCTCACAGCAACCTCAAACTCTTGGGCTCAAAGCAATCCTCTTGCCTCAGCGTCCCACGTAGCTGGGACTATAGGCGACTGCCACAACAC